GAGGGGGGAGGGCTTGGCCCCTTGTGGTTGCAGGTGGCAAGGAAGTAGGAACAGGGGGTGGCAGTGTCGGGGGTCTGGAGGAACATGGGCTTGAGTGGGGGGTGCCTCAGAAAGATCAACACGGCAGATGTTTCTCTCTTGGTATGACCGGTGGCAATATCGATCAGCAATGCCGCACAGCGCCGAAATATGCGTGCGACAGCTTTAACCTAACCACTTCGGTGGAAAGCGGATTTCTGTTCGATACGATGTCGGGAGTGCCGAGGGGAGAGGGCTTGGCCCCTTGTTGTTGCAGGTGGCAAGGAAGTAGGAACAGGGGGTGGCAGTGTCGGGGGTCTGGGGGAACATGGGCTTGAGTGGGGGGTGCCTCAGAAAGAGCAACATGGCGGATGTTTCTCTCTTGGTGTGACCGGTGGCAATATCGATCAGCAATGCCCCACAGCGCCGAAATATGCGTGCGACAACTTCAACCTAACCACTTCGGTGGAAAGCGGATTTCTGTTCGATACGGTGTCAAGGGTACCAGGGAAGACGGGGCCGAGTTTTGTTTGATTTCGGGTGGATGAGGTTGGGGTTTTGTTCGTTTTTCTCCCTGTAAGGTTCGTGCCTAGAGTTCAGCTGTAGTGTTTCAACCAAAGTTTTGTTGACTCAGAGGCAAACGTTCCTAGCCATTGGGCATCGAGTTAGTTTGGCTTGGCATGATGGCCTTTACAATCGACTTGTTATGTATGTCTGCATTTATCTGCGATTGTCGGAGGGTAAACGAAATAATTATAATGCACTATGGATCGGGGGTTCGGGGGAGAGTGGGAAAGAGCGAGAAAGCTGTGGCGTTTGTTTCTTAGTCGACACGTTCTCCCGTAACCCCTCGTTTCTTATGTAGTAGGGCAGCGGTCGCCGCTGTGTTTCTTATTGAGACACGCTTATTGTGTGACCCAGATTGAGCTATGTTTCTTAACCCTATTTTCATATTTTTCGTAAAAAAGTGAGCCTCAATTGCTTAACAAAATATTTCTTAACTGCGGGCGCCGACTGTAGGTCAATGTACATATATTTGGTCCGGCTGGGGCTCTTAATCCACTTTTTCACCCCGCACTTACGTGAACTTTCTCGGGGTAGGATAGTTTGTTGAGAATCTCAAAAGCACCTTTCAAACGTCCGGTCTCGAGGCGCATAAGTGTGTGGGTCATCATTGTTTCGTGTTCTTTTCTTCGCCGTTCTATCACAAATCCCCTGCGATAATCAGCCTACCCATGTAAGGATAGAGTTCCGCAAACGATTCCTCTCGAAATTCCCCAGTTTGGTTTCTTTTCCTTGTTTTCCACAGCATTAATATATGAGAGATATTCCACATGCTGTGCGAAACCTACATTTTTCAACTACATACAGTCATCAACTTTTTCGACCCCAAAATTACTCGAAATCAGATCAGGACAATTTCCGTTTTGGTTGGAACATTTTTTTTTGATCATTTGTTGTTTGCCTTGATGTGGGGATTACTAGTATGGCTGAAATTTCCTCTAATTCGACATACTTCGAAAGATATGGCCAAAAACGTAATTGGAAAGATTGTTCCGGACCGATCATACTACTTTTCGTGTCACGGCTCACTGATATTTCTTCTTCCAACAGCAAGTATGTGCTTCATCAAGTTGCAATCGTTGCTGCCGTCAAAAAGTCGCACGAAATAAAGAAGATGGATCCACTATTGCCGCAGCGAATGAACGATTTGGATTGGTGACGCGCGCCTTGATTGTTGTTCAGTAGTATGGGACAGCAAATGCTTTGAACACGAAGTTTTTGCATGTCTACGTTATGTTGCTGCTATTATAGCATGAATAGGGTACATCTTATCGTTGATAGGATGCGGGTCGGTCATGAGGTATACCCTTCCGACCCCTATTCCCTTAGGATTGTCTACTCTGTGTACCCCCTGAGATGAAGCTGGATCCCCACTTCATCTAAGACCCTTGCTGATCGTCAATCCTTAGAACACCTCTTGGAGTCGATCCTACAAAGAACCTTGTGACACTTCCATTGAATTACCCATCATGCCCACAAGAGGTTCCCAGTTGAGGGTAAATTATGCGAAGGTGCACCAAGTCAGGTAAAAGTCAATCGACAGATACCCTGCGGAGCGGGTCCTCCTTAACACTCTCCACCCACAGCATTTGCCCTCAACTGGGAACCTCTTGTGGCCATTATGGGAAATTCGATGGAAGTGTCACAAAATTCTTTGTAGGATCGACTCTAAGTGGTGTTCTCAGGAGAGACGCACAGTCTGTCCATGGCAAAATGTCCAAGTCAGGAGAAAAAGTGTGTCTCAAGGAGATTCGAACCAGTATCCAGCTGACGCTATGTGCGAAGGTGTACCGATTCAGGTATAGGTCAATCTACCGGTACTCGGGTCCTCCTTAACATCTACATTCTATTCGGTCTGCCATGAAATAAAATGGTCGAGAGGTAGTCGCGAACTACTGCTGTGTACTACAGACACCATGTAGTAAATGATTGACAGCATCGACCATAGAAACGTAGCACGCTTCGGTCGTTCTCGCAGACCTACTCGACATCTCTCACACCTTACGACCCCCCCCGCCCACTGGGGGCGCGGGGACCGATGCTTCACCTTCTTGTGCCCTCTCGCTCTTCATGAACGTCTTCACGTCTTTACGTCTTCACGTCTTCATTGCGTCTCCGTACACCGTCCCTTGCTACTTCTAACGTGTCGCCTTCCTTCGTCTTATTCCTAAATTTCCCCCCAAACCCTCACCATTATCCATCCCGGTGTGGCCACCCGCCCCATTGGAGGACGGGGGGCCAATCCTTAGACTAACCGTACAGCCAGTAGCACTACAGTACTTCATTGCAACGTACAACAACAAGTTTCACCGATGAATTCAGCCGAAGGGGCACATCTTTGGTTCTGTACTTTGTGCTCTGGAAGCTGATTGGGCCAAGGGCCCAACCCCACAAGTGTATCGCGCTCGCGTGTTGTATTGTACCGCTTCCCCCTTTCATTGTCCCATTACCTCGATCTCCGTCTCCTCACTCTCTACTCGTTCTTTTACATGCCCACAAGCATAGGTCGACTGTTTGTCCCATCCCCAATAGCCGATAACACGTGAGTCCTGTCTCTCTCGCTTTGGTATGTACGTGTGCATACAGTGCCGGCCCTCAGTTACGAATGTGGCACTTGAGAATTTGATGCTAAAAAAATCCAAAACAAAAGAATTAACCGGTAAGCACACGTGCTCAGCTGCACGCCCTGTTAGGGACAAGAACACACACCTGAGGTGCAAAACTTCTGCTACAAATATGAACGACAGCAATGCAGCGGCTGCCAGATACGAATACTCGCAGGGGGAGGGAGGGAAGAGGGGGGAGTGATCCCAGAGTACAGAGTATTGGATTTGGGAAGGGTACATATCCCACATATCATTTGTATTTTCTTAAAGGGGGAGGGTGGGCATTGTACGCACGCGTCGTGCCCCTGGGTGCCCCCGAGAAAAGCGTGATGCGCGGGCGGGGTGAGCTCCCCAAGGCGAGGTCCATTTTTATCATGGACAACTTGCACGCGCAGACCACGGACGAGTTCAAGGAGTATCTTGCAAAGCACTGCAACACTCTCGCCTGGTATGGCCCTTCGGAGTGCACGGACGAGGTGCACCCAGATGATGCAGGAGCCGGACGATTACAAGGTGGAAGTCGGGAGGAAGATAGACAAATGGCTCGAGCAGTCGGCCAACCTCGAGAGGTGGGAAACCGCGTCGCTGACAGCTTCTGATCGGCGCGTCCTGATCACTCAGTGGATGGGAGCGGCCATGGCAAGACTCAACAGTCAACAGGCGTACCGATACCGCCTTTTCGAAAAGTGCGGGATGGCCATGACCGTGGACGGCTCGGGCGATGATCGAATCACCTTGGCGGGTTTGGACAAGCCGTATACCTTCGCTAACGATGAAGACAGTAGCGACGACGAACAAGGTTCGGAGAACGGCAACGATGAGCCTGAGGGGCGGGCGAAGGAGGGCGATGGAGGACATACGACGCTCATGGAGGGCGTTGACTCCAGCGATGAAGACGACGGCGGTAAGGTTGTTTTGCACAAAACCAAATCTTCATCTTGTTTTTGTTGATGACGATGTCCTTCATGTTGACGTTAGCTTGTTTCTGCGCACGGCTACACTCGAATTATGATAAGTTCAGGTTGGGTTTGGCGACGTGACACCCTAACTTCTTGTGTTTCCCGTTGCCTCGTTCGCAGACATATCTCAACCCAGACCGACGAGCTAGCTCTTCTGGACGACGAATATAGCATGGACCCACAAGACCCGGAGGATGAGATACAGGGAATGGAGATCCCGGCAGGCTTTCGTATTGAAGAAGCTAAACCCACTGCTCTTGACAGATTGCTTTTGCGGCGTGGAGTGCTCGTTTGGCTGGGCATGGGGTGGTTTGGAGGGCTGATCACTCAACAATCTCAGAAGGACACTCGCCACCTGTACGACTACTGTGTGCAGCTGGAGCTAGACCAGAGTACGCGCAAGATGAAGTTGCCCTTAGACAAGTACAACGGAGATTCGGATGCGGCTGTAGGATCCTGTTTTTTTTTTTTTTCTTAATATCACACAACAAATCCATCTCTATCTATGGAAATATGTCTAGATTAGCAATGAATCCACAGCGTGAGCGAAAGCTACCTGTATGTCTACGGTTTCCCAGACAGCATACAGCGATATCTCCACTGTGGGTAACAGGCTCACCAAGGCAGTTTGGTAGCCATCTTGTGTATCTATCTGCATGTTATGTTGGGAAGTTGTAGACGGAAGATTTAGGGGAACTCGGTTTGTCGGGTGTTCTATTATTGCACCCTCATGTGGTTGCGGAGCAAGCGCGTCTCGGGGTGTGTATATTTTCGTCATCAACTTATTTTTTGTGTGTGATGTATGGGAGCATGTGCGGGACGGTGCTGTGTAATTGCACGTCATTAAATGTACGAAGGGCACGGGTGAATATTATCGCATCATTGCCTCCTGACGTGGCCGCCGATAGACTCGAGAGGCGTGTGGTTGAGGTTTCATCACCGACATGTGGGTGTGTGTTAAATGCAGTGGGTATGGTCACCTCTCTCGCCCGTGTGTCTGCAGGAAGTATGGCTACCTTTCCCATTTGTAGACAGCGCGGACCATAAGTAAAGACAGAGTGTATCATTTCATGCATCTACATCAGTTGTACGTGGAAAGGGAGGAATGAGAGGTTGTTCAACTTGGACGGTGTATGTATGGGTAGGGGGAGTACTCCGTGTGTCCGTGTTGTTCCCAGATGTTGTTGCATCAAGTGGCAGCATGTGTCATGGGCAAGTAGACGTGGAAGGGCAGCGACAGGTGAACGGCAGAAGCAGGATGTTGTGCATGGTGGCATGTTGGGCTTGTACAAAGACGCAGTCCATCTTCGACCACACACAAAGGAGTTTGTTCGTACCTGTCGGAGTTTTGGAGGGCCCAAGTCAGTCTCAAGCAGCAGTAGGAAGGAGCCAACAGGCGCAGCGCTTCTCCGCAGCTTTAGACTCCATCCTCCTCAAATCCTAACGGAGATGATTACGTATCGCACAACGGCTGTATCCGAATTGCCGGCTTGCTCCGAAAACCAGGAGAGGTGGGGGAGTAGGTCGGACGAATGGCTGCGTGTGCGCTCCTTCATGTGCATCCTTGGCTGACTCTTTGAAGGGTAGCATTCTGGTTCAGTGGGATATTGGCGGCATTTCAGCATTTCCGGTATTTGCCGTTGTCACCTGGATGCATGGGAAACGCAAATTTGTCACTCTACTTGCAAGGGACACGTTTCATTTTCAGTGTTCCCTCTTGCGGTTTCGCTTGAGAGCATTAGATCAGGAAGGGTACACGTCACCCTTGTGGACCAAGAAGGTTGACAGTTGCTGCTCTATGCCTTGGTATTTTCTTGTATCGACAGCAGTACTAGTGTTGCTCATGGTTGACAGCCGACAATATAGCAAATGATGTTAAAATACTGTAAGAACAAGAACACCCCTTTCTGGAGAAGAATGGACGACGAAATAAGAACTTGGCAAATAAGAACTGGTGCTCGGGTTGGGGCAGCTAATAAGAACCGAGCCTCGCCCAATATAGGAGGTTCTTAAGTGCGGGCCGGCACTGTATATGGAACCGCAGGAGGGGGTCCAACCCCCCTCCCATGTGACCCCGGTTGGGTCGTCTAGCTGGTAGAAGTGGAGGATGGGAGCCAGAGGGGCAGACGACAGAGTCCAATGATGGGAGAAAATATGTAGTCTATATATAGAAGATTTATGCTAGACTAGTTTAGTCTATGTATGTATGTACCTCAATATTCGAACGATGTCTCGCCGACCCCGATGAACCGCCGCAAACTCCAGCTCCTGAACTACACATATAACTGCTCCGTTTTACCTGCGCCTTTGGTTCTGCCATCAACTACCGCTACCGCGTTGCTCCCTGCTGTTGTTCCCTGCTGCTTCCCCCTTTGCTGCTGCAGCGAGACTTTGGATGCAACGAAAATGAACTACTCCTCGCTATCATCAATCACCAGTCTATTCATTCACGCAGTTGCTACGACCTCTTTCGGGCCATACCGTGCGTTTTGAACAATCGTGAGCATGTGCTGAGAACACTCTGTGTGTGATGTGCGCTGGAACTCTGGGTGTACGGTACGGGGTCGACGAGATACGTGTGCACGAAACATGTTTGCCCTGTCGAAACGCGTCGCTCGTCAAGCCGGTCGCTGACGAAAAACCTCCCGCAGTGATACTCCAGAGAAATCAACGATGACTTCAGATTTGAACCACCATAGGCACCATCCATCGATAGAGTTCCTGTGTCCGAAACGCAGGCCAGCCGAACGCTCGTTGTTCAAAAGTGAAGAGTTTCGTGTTCTTAGTAGCCCTTTATGGAAAGAAACCTTCCCAACGGACGAATACAGAGTGGACGTTCGTCGATTGTTCCACAGTCTAAGCTCGCGTGTGCCAGCGCGCCCTCCCTCCCCCTCTCTCTCTCTCTCTCTCTCTCTCTCTCTCTCTCTCTCT